CCGACTGCGGGGAGGGGAGGGGGGGGGATTTTGGGAAATACGGGGACGCGAGAGCTCAAATTTAGGTGTGGGCCCCCCGGGACAAGTGTTTAAAAAAAAAAAAAAAAAAAAAAAAAAAAAAGCTATAAAGCCATATTCAACATTTGTTTCCAAACATTAGGCTGCAAACACTTCCTTACCTCAAAGTCATCGTCATCTCCTTCAGTGTAATGTGCATGGTTGTCCGGATTGCTCACTTTGTCCAACAGCTCAACTGCTAGGGCCCGAGACAGACCTGACTGCCCAACGAAAGTATGCTATGTGAAAATCAAACAAAATAAAACTAATAAAACTTCATGAATGTGCCTTCACACCTGCAGCTAATAAAAAAATGTTCTTTGTTCCTTTTCAATCAGTAACTTGTAAGAAGAAGTAAGCATGGGGGGTTGGGGACAGATTAGAAATAATCAGTGACTCCATAATTACATATAACTGAAAATCATTTGTGATACAAAGTTAGAACATGAATCATTTCTCTCTGTAAAGTTATCTAATCTATATTACATTATAAAATTATAACTTCATTTGCATTCATTTAAATCAGTTAAATATCTTAGGTTGTTATGCTCATTAATTTCTCACATAAAATATTTTACACATACACATACATGCAAAGCACATTATAAATCCACATACGAAACTAAGAAAAGCAATCAATTTTAGATGGAACCATTTTTAAGAGTTTTCTCAAAGGCAGGGGACATCAAACTACAGTCCTAGGGCAAAATGTGGTATACTGCCTACTTTAGCAAGTAAAGTTTTGTTGGGTGTTAAAACTATACCCACTATACTATCTATGGCTAGTTTTTTGTTACAGTTGCAGAAGTAGTTGCAATAAGAATCAACAGTCCAGCAAACTAGAAATATTTAGAAGTAGTAATTTTGCTGACCCCTTGTATATTAAAAACATTATATCTAATTATTGCATAACTAAAGGAATCTCTGTAATTTCAACGACTTACCGTTAGAAGTCTTTCAGCAGTTGGTCTTTTTTTAGGGTTTTTAGTTAGTGCTATTTTGACAAAATTATGGAATGTTGATGACCTTTAAATAAAAATAGACAGGTACAAAAATATTTCGTTAATGTTAGTTTTTTTGGAACCATTAGAAAGGTTGAAACAGGATTTTTGCCCCCTTAGGCCTCTTAGTTCTACATAAGCCAAAAAAATTAAACCTCAAACATAGTGTATTCCTTGTGTGGATGTGATCAGTTTTGTCTCTTAATGTTATTAACAGTGATATACAACCTAAAAAAATTATACTAGGGGATAGAGAGATGGCTCAGCAGTTTAAGAGCACTGGCTGCTCTTGCAGAGGACTGGGGTTAGATTCCCAGCACTTACAAGTTCTTCTTTTCAGTACTACATCTAGAAGCCAAATGTCCTTTTCCTTTTTAAAAAATATTTATTATTTTTATGTGTATGCATGTATTGCCTGCATGTAGGTAAGTGCACCCGTGTTGTGCAATGCCCGCAGAGGTCAGAAGAGGCTGTCAGATCCCGTGGGACTGGAGTTATGGACAGCTGTTAGCTGCCATGTGGGTGCTGGGATTCGAACCCGGGTCTTCTGCAAGAACAAAAACCGGTGTTCTTAACCACTGAGCCATATCTCCAGCCCCATATGTCCTTCTCTTATTGACTAACTTATATAACATTTTAAACTTTCCTATACCCAAACAGCTGAATGGCATGGAGGATAGGGAGGGTAATATAAGAAACTATTTAAATTCTAAAAGGGCTACTGGAATTCTTGGAAAAAGCACAAAAAAAGTGAGGATTTTAGCAACCAAAAAGATTTTCCTGCTATCTGCATTGATGAAGCAGAGAAAGGGAGAAGAAAAATATTAAAAGAATCATAATCAATGATAAATGGTTTCTTTCTACCACTGCCAAGATTCCACTATGGGAGATAATGATTAAGAACCAAAGAAACTTTCCTTAGTAACTGCCACTGACAACCACTCAGCACTTTTCAGCAGAGAAATAAAAGTACTACATTTCCATTGGTGGCTTGTGATAGACATCATTAGAGAGAAACAGTATCTGAGACTGGTAATGACTGCTCTGGAATATGACAGTGATTTAGTATTGATACCCAATACTCATTTGTTCCTGGGTGAATATTAAGGCATTCTGGTCATAAAGCCCTTCTATTTCAAATAGCTAAGAATGCAGGGCAGCAAGAAGTAGTAAGTCAGTGTCAATACTAAAGAACATAGCCACTACAGATGATTTGCTTTTTACTCTTGCCATCATCTGAAGAATGACCTTGATCCTAAATGAAACTGTACCCAGATAGGTTACGACACATAAAGCAGATCAGCTTCTACTTGAGGGAGGAGCTACTAGAATCTGAAATAGAGCATGGACCACCTAATCAGAAAAATAGACACACACTTTGGAAACTCATGGACCATCAAGAAATTCATATATCTACATAAAGAACTGTATTTATGAATGTAGAAACTTTTATTTGCCTGATCTATTTAAAAATATATGTAGAAGATTATTACCAGAAAAAAATTTCCATTTTTTTTAACCATCTAATTGATGACACACTTATGAACTACAATGATAGAAAAAAGAAAAAGCCAGGTGTGGTGGCGCATACCTTTAGTTCCAGCACTTGGGAGGCAGAGGCAGGCGGATCTCTGTGAGTTCAAGGCCAGCCTGGTCTACATAGTAAGTTCCAGGTCAGCTGGGGCTGCAGCAAGACCCTGTCTCAAAAAAGACCCCCTCCTCCCAAAGAGAGAGAGAGAGAGAGAGAGAGAGAGAGAGAGAGAGAGAGAGAAAAGATTAGGAAAAGAATAAGCAATAATTCCTTTGAGCATTACGGAAGGAAGGAAGAACAAAACTAACAGATTGATTTTAAGTGTGAGAATATCTGGGAAACCTTTTCAAGTGCCACATTCCATAAAAGATAATATGTAATTAATAGATGTAAAAAAATACAAAAAATATAGGGCAGGGGTTGGACAGATGGCTCAGCGCTTAAGAGCACTGAGTGCTCTTGTAGAGGACCCAGGTTCAATTACCAGCACCCACATGATGGCGAACAACTGTCCACTAACTCCAGTCCCAGGGAATCTGATGCCCTCTTCTGACTTCCTCAGGCATTGCATGACATGGGTGTACTTACACACGTGCAGGCATTCATTCATTCATTCATTCATTCATTCATACACACACACACACACAAAATATAAACAATAAATAAAAACTTTAAAAAATACAGGGCAAAAAATGTAAATTTCCAAAATCTTCATGTATTCATTTCAAATCCCTTCCTTTATGATTTTTTTTTTCTTGGTGACATAATCTCTCTGTAGCCCTGGCTGGCTTGGAACTTGCTATGTAAACCAGGCTGGTCTTGAACACAGAGATGTACCTGCAATGGATTATAAAATCCACTGACTAGAAAATAAACCTAGATCCTTGTCACACCTTCACAGATAAAGAGCTGGGCAACACTGTGCAAGCTGCTTAATGTCTGTGAGCCTTAGTTTCATCATTTATGAAGTAAGGGACTGAACCTGTTAAATTCTATACAATTATATATTCTTTAACTCACCATTTTGTTTTATCCTTTAGTTTCGGAGGCTGAAAATTACTTTTTGACATTAAGAAGAGAGCCCTGAAATAAAAATTTCAGTTAAAGGACAATACTAAAATGCTTTTAATACTTTATCTAGCAGTCAGGTGAATGTTCTATAATGATTTTATCTAAAACATAGGAAGGCACTGAAAAACTGCTTTGGGCTAAGGGAATGAAATGTTTCAAAATACTTTGTTTTCTTATGACACTGGGGGTCAAACCTGGGCCTTGCACATTCTATGCTAGCACTTCTACCACTGAACTATTAACAAGCCCTTATTCACCTATATTAACTAATACATTTTAAGCATTGTTATGTAATTATATATTATTCTATAGCACAGCAATGGCATTAACATTAACATTACTTTAACATTAAGCCTAGCAACTAAAATTATTATAGCAAATTAAATTCATTTCCTGATCTGTTTCCTTTATATGAATAATAAATTCCCATATTGTCTCACTATACATATGTCAATGTACAAGAGGAATCTGTCCATGACTTCACCTTTTTTTCCTATGGCTGATGGAGTAGAAAAAAGAAGGTTTAAAGAATGCTGAAAATGCTATTTCAGTAAAAAATCCTGTATCTTTTTGTAGATTTTTTTGCTCAATTATTTTTAAAGTTCAATATTATGAGTGTTTTGTATGCACATATCTAAGTGTACCACATGTGTGCAATGCCCACAGAGGCCTGAGGGGGGTGTTGGGGTTCTCTGGAACTGGAGTTATGGATGGTTTTTATCTGCTATACGGGTGTTGAGAAATGAACCTGAGTCCTCTGCAGGGGCAGCCAGTGCTCTTAATTATTGTGGCATCTCTCCAGCCCCGCCCCCCCAAATTTCTTCTTTTTTTTTTTTTACTCTTTTTGAGGCAGGATCCCCCTGCAGCCCCAACTGATCTGAAACTATGTAGGCCAGGCTGGCCTTGAACTCACAGAGATCTACCTGCTTATGTCTCTGGAGAGCTGGAATTAAAGGCATGCACCACCATGCCTGGCCAAATTTCTTTTTCTTTTCTTATTATTTTATTTATTATTTTTATGTGATGTGTGTATTGCCTGCATGCAGGTAAGTGCACCTGTGTCATGCAATGCCCACAGAGAACAGAAGAGACTGTCGGATCCCCTGGAACTGGAGTTACAGACAGTTGTTAGCTCCCATGTGGGTGCTGGGATTTGAGCCTGGGTCTTCTGCAAGGATAGCCAGTGTTCTTAACTGCTGAGCCATCTCTCCAGCTCCCTGGCCAAATTTTTGACCTTTTATTGAATATATCAAAGGTATTTTTCTTTTCCTTTTTATATAAAAATTCATCTTTTAAAAAAAGCCTTTATCCAAATGCGAATTGTTACATTATTTCATCAGGTAATAAGACTATGTTCTGCTTTTTTTTTTTATTACTAATCAACTTTCCAGGTTCCTTTGCTTTATACATAATAGTTGCCTCAACTGCTAAATAATCTGTTTAATAATATACAAAGATGCTTAGATTATTTCCCCCTAGTTAATTGCAAATGGATACTTCTTAGCTTTTCTTTCCTTAAAAAAATTATTTTACATTTACTTATTTAGTGTCAGAAGGTCATGACAGAGAACTTGCAGGAGTCGGTTCTATTCTTCTGCCAGGTGGGTTTGGGATCAAACTCAGTTATTCAGGTAGTCAGGTTTCGTGGCTAGTATCCTTAACCTGCGGAGCAATCTTGCAGCCCCTGATTTTGTTGTTTTTTAAAAAAATAACTTAAGTCTAATTTCCTGAGTAGTGGAATCACTGAATATATGATGAACATTATGTAATTATGATTGCATAGACTGAGTTCTCTTCTAGCTTGGCTTATGTTCAGTGAGACACAATATTATTTTCTTAAAGGTCTGTACCTAAGTTTGCATTCTAGTTAACAGTAACTATCTTTTAGCTGGTAGACCTTTCATTTTCCAGGTGCTGCTTCAGTATCTGGCTCTTGCACACAAGCTATCTTTGCTTTTAGACTTTGAATAGTGCTCTGTATAGCACATGATAATCTGTGGTCAATCATATGTTGCTGACATTCTCCCCATCTTGGCGATTTGCATTATTACACTGTTTAAAGTTTTGTCCAATATATCTTTTCCTTCAAAATATCAAAAAACCTTTTCAAAAGCCTTCAATTTCTTTTCCTGGAACATATCATAAAACCTAAGTGACTTAATATTATACTAAACAGAGGTACTTCACTATCCCTAAAAGAGTAAAGGCTACTCAAATCAGAACAAAAGGAGCAAATGTATGCTCTACTACTTATAATTTCAAATTGATTAAAACAATTAAACAAGATGGAAGAATTAATATAAAGGCCCCCAAAGACTAGCTTAATGATAATTTAATAATAACCCTAGTATGATTATTAAGAGAAATTTTCTTGATGGGAACACTTCGAGCAGGACAGACAACTCATTCTGTTGTTTGGGGAAGCAGCTATACGAGTGGGAGTGTGTGTGTGTGTGTGTGTGTGTGCCTGCTTGTCTGTGCATGTGTGCACAGAGGGCAGAGGTTGATTTTGGCTGTCTTCCTCTATCATTCTCCACTTTAGTTTTTGAGACAGGTTCTCTCACTGAACCTGGAGCTCACTGTTTTGTTTAGACTGGCTAACAAGCACATTCTGAGGATGTGCCTGTCCCTATCACCCCAGCATAACAGGTACAGGTATGTGCTGCCATTGCTCAGCTTTCATGAGGGTGCTGGGGACACAAACCCAGGTCCTCATACTTGTGCGACAAGGACCCTAACCACTGAACCATCTATCCAGCCCCTGAGGTCTTATATGACATTACTGGAGAACCTTACAATACCTTTACTCTTTTGCTATACTAAAAAATTAGTTTGTAATTCCTGAGTTATTAGTACTTCACCTTCCCCAATGTATTTAATAACTGCGTAATTGTAAATAACGAGAACACCTCATTGGATGAAGATCAAACATAGGTGGCTGAAGCTCTCCAAGTTCAATTGCTGTTATTCCTACTGCCCAGATATCACAAAGTTGGTTGTAGCCACCATTTTTCTCCACTGCTGCAACTTCTGGGGCCATCCTAGAAGAAAGTAATGACTATAGCATTTTTTGTTCTTAAAGGTGATATAAAGTACTTTTTGACATGCTCAGAGAGAGAAAGAGGCTGAGAGGTATTTACTAGGAAAGAGGAGACCTTACCAGTAAAGATTTAAACAAATACCACATACACATACACAGAGACATATGCCACACAGTCTTCTAAAATTCATGCATTTCCTCCTCTGCCTACTCTAAGTTTTACTTTCGACTGTGTTAAGTGAATGTTAAAGAATACCTAAAGCCTTGTGAAGGTCAAAGAAAAGTTTCCAAAGGAGGTGAAAGAATGAATCAACAGGAAGTTGAGTATGGAGTTTCAGAGGAAACTTCAACAAATGCTGGGAGATAAGAAGAGCGCAGGGAACACCTGAGTGAGGGGACAGCGTGACTCAGTATGTGACATACACACTGGGATGGGGCAATGCACTGCTGGTTGCTGTTGATACAGTGCACAGAAACAGTAAGCATTCTCACTTATCCAAATGCATCATCAATTTTTAGTAATTAATTTTATTTTACAAAAATCTAAGTATGATTGCCCTTTCCTTTGCCTTTTTTTTTATTGGTCTATGGTGTCTGATGGGGGCATTATCCCCCATTATAGAGTAAGTCCATTTGCTTGTGTAGGATTAGGTTTCCATATGACTTTTTAACAGAGATCTGCCTGCCTCTGCCTCCCGAGTGCCGGGATTAAAGGCGTGCGCCACCACGCCCGTCTCCTGTGCCCTTTTAAGGTTGACATAGAAGAGTAAAGGCACTCTCCATAAAACCCAGAGAAGAGACTGTACATTTCCTCTTTGGCTCCTGTCTGGAGTCACAACTGCACATGGTAAAAAAAGTGTAAGCGTGATAGGAAATGAAAAAATATCCTTCACAACACAGGGCTTGGAGGGTCTAGAAAGTGTACAGAAAATGAACTGTCAATTTAGGGGCTGGATTATGAGGAACACATTATACAAGTAAGTTGTACTCATTATACAAGTAAGTTGAGATTTTCTTGTGAAAATGATGCGGACCCACTGAAAGATTTAATCATGGAGGCAAACTTAATGTAAAACTCATTCCTTTATCAAGTACAGTGTGAGGGATGAAGCCAGGCAGGCAGGTGGGTTAGAGAACAACATCAAAAAGAAGGTATGGTGACACACACCTGTAATTCCAGCCCTTAGGAGGCTGAGGCAGGAATACCCTGAGTTTAAGGGAAGCCTGATCTATATAGCAAGTCCTGTCCCAATACCTTGCCCCTGCTAAGAGCTCCCCAAATAAACACAAATAAGGGAAAAAAGATAAAGGATTTTGATATACAGTGATAACATCTAAAGTTTTAAGGTATAGGTGGCAATGTTTAGGGAAACTCTTATATTTCCTGTTTAAAGTTTATTAATTTACATTTATATTGAGTAGTCATAGGTTACAAATTGCTTTTACATGCACAAAAACACTGGAACCTACCTCAGTTGAGTTACACATTGTATCTCAACTTAAATGTGGAATACAGTACATAGGTACTAAAGTGAGGCTATAAAGTACGTATACTAACATTGTTTTAGCTTTCTTGTGGTGTTGGGGATTGAACCCTGCCTGAGCATGCCAGCCAAGTGCTCTGGCAATGAGTTATACTCCCAGTCCTTCCAAATGTGAACATTAAAAAGGCTAACATGTAAATGTATACACTGTATGTAAGTGCTATATACATAATAATGGGGGTAGAAAAAAAGAGAAGGAAATAATTGCCATTGAGCCAGATAACTGAGGCCAGTTTCAGACTGGAAAGAGGCTGAGCTGGTGCCCAGAAGCAGCAAATCAACTTCATGTCCTCTACTGGAATGAGATTGTGTGGCTAATTGGAATGCCAACCTGACTGACACTGTTGTTGTTCTTAGCTCAACAGGGAACAGTTTAGATTAACCTGTGTGGCACAGGTGAGGGAGTATGCCCCTCATAAAAGCAGACAAGAACTTAGGCACGGAAAAAGGTTATCAAAGAAGGACAGTCCACAGCTGAAGTAGCAGTATTTCACAGGGTATAATCAAGGTACAGAATTAGCTAATTTTGACCACAGGTGATGTTTACAACAGAAGATAATTATAGGAGTCTGAGGAAGGAAATCAGTACTGAGTTGAAAATTCTATAAGTAATCTAAGTTGTCTATGTATTTAACTTTTATTCAAAGGACATTTACCAGGGTCTTTTTTGGTATTAAAAGTGGTATTGCTCAATGAAGAGAATTTGAGATACAAGAAAAATATGGAAGCAAACAAGTTGTGATCTCAACCAAAGATAGCCAATATTTCACTTATTTTTCATCTATTTTTTAAAAACTTTTTTAAATTTTATTATTTTTATTTTATGTGTATGCGTGTATTGCCTGCATGTAGGTAAATGCACCCGTGTACTGCAATGCCCTTGGAGGTCAGAGGAGGCTGTCGGATCCCCTGGGACTGGAGTTATGGACAACTGTTAGCTGCCACGTGGGTGCTGGGATTCAAACCTGGGTCTTCTGCAAGAACAACCAGTGTTCTTAACCGCTGAGCCATCTCTCTAGCCCCTCATCCATACTTTTTACTTAGAGGTACAATACCTCTTATAGAATGAAACTCTATTCCATTTGCCAATTTTAATCCTGAGTTTTAGTTATGTCTATCTTGAGTCTAACTGCTAACCATTCATCTTTTACAGCATAATTTTTAATAATAGCACGATACTCCTTTGAATTGATATGTCTAATTCTCTTGGTTTATTCCAGCCACGTTTTCCCTCAATTTTTCATATTAAAATATTACTGCAAAGCTCTTTATGTATAAAAATGTGTATTCCTCTAAATTCCTACAAGTGGAAGCACTGACACTAATGAATATCAACACTGTTACAGGTTTTTAGAAACACTGTGAAATTATTTTTAAAAATTGTTTTACCAATTTTCACTTTCACTATCATATATTTAGTAATGGAATATTGATTCCAAATATTTTCCAGTTTGACAGAAAAGCGTATAATTTATTTGTGTTTATGTTCAACAAGGGAAACACTTATTTTATGGCTTCTTACATATGTTATTTTAAAAATTCCTTTGCTCAAAAGACATTCTTTTTAATGACACAAGAACTCATATATTAAACAGGTTTCCTTAGCTTGGTCTAATTAGCCAGTATTTCCTGTATTTTACTTGCCTTAAAAAAAATCAGCTGGTAGACATATAAACTTTAAATTTTTATGTGAATGATCAACCTTTTCCTTGAAAGTTTTATGTCCATAAAACTTCATCAATTCTTTTTTTTCCTTTCCCTCCCTTTTTTCTCCTCCCCACTTTCTCCTATCCCCTTTCTTTTTTGAGACAGAATTTCATGTATCTCAGTCTGGTCTGAAATTCACTTTTAGTTGAGATGAAATTGAATTTCTGATCCTGCCCTTTCCTTTCAAGTGCTGGTGTGTGTGCTACCATGCCCCAGCAATGTGGTACTGGAGATCCTGCATGCTGGAGAAACTCTCTACCAACTGAGTTATGTCTCTAGACCCTAACTCTTTAGTTTTATATCTAACTCTTTCCATATATATTTATTTTGGCATTACTTATTAAGTATAAAATTACTTTATTCTCAAAACAATAAATTATCCAAGCACTGTATATTAACAAACCTCACATTTAATACAAACTTTAAATGTCATCTGCTATAACATTCACTAAATTATTTTAAATATTAAGGAATTTTGATATTCCATACTTTACTTATTTATTATTATTTTTTGAGTCAGAGTCTCATAATGTAGCCCAGGTTGCCCTCATACTCAATCCTTTTTGCTTTAGCCTCCATCATGCTGAAAATATAGGCATATGACCCACCATGCTCAGCTCATACTGAAATAGAATGAGATCTTTTATTATATGTTAACTATTTTTCAATAATGAAAATCATATTTAGTCACCAGTAGGATACAGCATGAGTATGGGGATGGTGGAGATTAATGTAGGATGTACGGATTTCAACAATCAGAAGTATAGTCCTTGATAAGAACAGAAAATTGGAAGAGTTCCTGGAATTCTTTCTTTTAAAAATTTCAAACCTCTCAACACTGGAGCCCTGGGATAGAAATCAGCACTTCACCATGGGGAAAGCTGATCAATATAAAGAACCAAAGTTCCCAAACTCAATCAGAGTTAGGACAGCATCAAGCAGCATGCATGCAAGTCTTTTGGCCTTTAATGATCACTTATGTTATCAAGTATCAAGACTGAGTACAAACCATGAAGTAATGAACATCGACAAAGGGCAACTACAATAATGCCTTACCAATAAGGGGTGCCGATGAAAGACTTTCTCTTTGCAATGGTAGCTGTTATTTTTGCAGCCACACCAAAATCAGCTAGTGAAGAAAAAATAGAACAGAAAATTTTAGCTCTTTCTGATACAACGAGCATTTCTTTTTTCTTTCTTTTTTTTTTCTTTTTTTTTTTGTTTTGAGACAGGGTCTCCCTGTAGTCTTAGCTGGCTTGGAACTCACTATGTAGACCAGGCTGGTCTCCAACTTTTAGAGATCTGCCTGCTTCTGCTTCCCAAGTGCTGGGAAATAAAGGTGTGCTCCACCACTCCCACTACAATGAACATTTCTAAGTTTCATCCTTCCACATAACATTAATAATAATTTAGACATTAATGTCAAGAATATCTGGAAAAAACTGAACTCCTACCTCTCTTCTTGCTTAGTTTATAACATACTCATTAAAAGAAAATTTATTGGAATTTTACAAGAATGAAATTGTACTTTATAAGAGCAAAGCTAATAAAATTACTTTTATTACAAGCATACTGAAGTTAATTTGGGGGCAAAAAGGCAAAACTAAACACACAGGGAAAACATACTCCTTTAATCGATTTTTTAGTCTTTTTTCCTATGTATATAAATGTTTATATGTGTTGTTAAACAGTTATAAAATTAAGTATATATCTAGTTCATTTTTGTCATTTACTATACCATATTTTACTCACATATTCTTCATAAATATTAATAACTTTTAGAGTATTCCATGAATAAATTATAGGTTAGCAGTTTTTCTATTGCTAGGTCTGTATTTTTCTACCATAAATAATATGATTAATAGCTCTATAAATATGGCTTTTTCACCTCTAAGATTAAGTTAGAAGTTTGAAGGGTTGGGGATGCAGCTCAGTTAGTAGAGTGCTTGGAGAGATGCAGAAAGATCAGAAGTTCAAGGTCATTCTCTGCTACATAATGAGTTCTAGGCCAGCCTGGGGTACATGAGTAAAAAAAAAAAAAAAAAAAAAAAAAAAAAAAAAAATTAAGTTGAATAAAATTTAGTGAATAAATATGAAATTAAACCTATACAAAGTTAATTAGCACTTAACATTTTATTAAAGTTTCTGGTAAAAATTTTAAGAGCTTGAAATAACATACCCAATTTTACATCACCATGGTCTGTTAATAAGATATTTGCACCCTAAAACAAAAGTACAAATACTATTAGACTAACATCATAAAGTTTCTTCCAAAACAAAGGTCAATTTAAATATATTAGATGAACTTACTTTGATATCTCTATGCATTTTGCCTTTAGTATGCAAATAGGCAAGACCCTGAAGTTAAAAAACAATATGCATTAGCAAAACAGCAAATTGGACTCATAAAATGTCTACTTAAATTATACGGAATAAGAAAAAATTAGAAAAGTTTTATTTTTTTAAAAAATTTCTTGTTTTTCTGAGACAGGGTCTTCCTGTAGCTCCAGCTGGGATGGAACCCGCTAGGCCCTGAACTCAGAGAACCACCTGCCTCTGCCTCCTGAGGGCTGGGATCAAAGACAGTTACTGCTTAGTATGCTGTAAAGCTTTCTACCTCATTTTCTGACAAAACTATAAACAGCATTAACATCCCAAGATAATGAATACACTGATCATTCCCCTAAGTTTTCTTCTGTGGTGCTCCTTTATAGCTCTTCACTTCTTCCCCCCAAAACTGGTCTCTTGTCATTTTGCACTAGGTTTTCAAAGTCACCTGACTAGTCTCTGAGCTTTACATTTCCATAGCAATTCTAGAATCAGGCTGCCAGTGTCCTTGTTGCTTCCTTCCCACTCCTACCACCAGTCACATAGGGTTTCAGTAGGTAGCCTAGGCAGCCTTACCTCCTGAGTGCTGGGATTACAGTGCCTGGATTGGCTTGTCAATTTCTTTTAAAAAATAAAAGTCTGGTTGGAATTAACATCTTCACAGTACTATTCTTCTAATCCATGAAAACGGCATAGTTGTCCTTTTACTTAGGTCCTGAATTCCTCTCAGCAATTTTGTGGCTGTTAGTAGGCAGGTATTTATATACCTTCTGCTCTATATATATCCATAAGAATATCATATTCTTTGTTACTGTAAGTAGCATTCTCTTTAAATTTGAATTTCTAATTCTGTGGTTACTATGCAGAAATTCAACTGATTTTTGTGTAGCAATCTTGTAATATTCTGGCCTGATTAGTCTTAGTAGCTACTTTGTAGCTTCCTTTTCATTTTCTATATAGATGAGTATGTAGCCTTGTGATAGAAGAGTTTTGCATTCTATTCTCAAAACTAGAGTCCTTTTATTTTATTGTTTTTTTCCTTTTATAATATCTGAAACGTCTAGTACAAAGTTGGAGCTGACATGCTTGTCTTGTTGCATCTTGGGAGAAAAGCATCTAGCCAGTCTTCTACATAAGATTTAGTTGTGGGGTTTTCATAGAAGCTTTTCATTGAGTTTACCAAGTCCATTTCAAATGTATACTTGGACTTTTTTTTTTTTCTAAAGCTTGAGGACAACTTGTTAGAGTTTAAAAGGAAAATCCCAAGGCAGGCAAGCTGCAAATCTCACAGCTGCCTGGAGAAGAGTGGAGGAGATGAGCAGGGGGAATCAAATGGCAGGCTGGTGAAATGGTGAGAGGGTGGTAGAGCTCTAGAAAAAGAGCAAGGAAGCCGTAAGTGTTAGTTGGGGAATTAAAAAACCTACTTAGGCTCTGACCAGCATTTGAAAGAGAAAGACAGAAGCAAAGAAAAAGGAAAAGTTCAGCCTTTCTGAGTCAGAACTCAGAGGTGGACAGAACCAGCTCAACCCCATGCTGGCTCCTAGGGACTGCCTGCTCAGAATTTTAAAATTTTTGTTTTTTTAAAGGTTTACAAAGTAGCAGATTTCTTTACAGCTTTCCATACATCCTTAGTTTTGGTTAGGCCTTGTCCTCTACCCCTTCCTTTCCTTCATTTCCCCATCACATCTCCACATAAAGTTTCCATGTTATCTGCCCCACTTTTTCCTATCTATTATCCCTTTTCCCCAAAGCCATTCTCCTCTCATGGCTACCCTCCATGGCCACACAAACACACAGACATAAAAAAACAGAAGCCAGAAAACACATGTGAAGGACAACATGTGGCTGTCTTTCTGTATGCTCAGAATTGTTATCAGGATTGAACACTGAAGTGGTTTGAATGAGAATGTCCCCCATAGGCTCCAAGTGTTTGGACATTCTGTCCCCATGTGGTGGCACTGTTTAGGGAGGTCTTAGAAGATGTGGCCACAATGGAGGAAGCATGTCACTGGGGCCGGGTTTAAAGAGTTCTTAAGTCTTGCCAGGGGTCTCCAGTTGCTCTCTGCTTCCTATGTCTGTTTGAAGATGTGAGTGCTTAGCTTCTGCTCCTATTCCAGTCACCTCTGTTGCTGTACTTCCCCGTCACAATGGATTCTTGCTCCTTTGAAATTATAAGCTAAATAAACTCTTCCTTTTATAAGTTCCCTTGGTGTTTCTATCACAGCAACAGAAAAGTAACTAATACAATCACTGAATTTTGCTAAATGTTACTTTAGTTCATCATGTGGCTTTCTTTATAGTTTGTTTATAGTTAATTACCTGAAATGATTAGTGTTAAATGAACTCTACATTCTAGGATTAATTCTTTTTATACACCACACACGCACACACACACACACACACACGTTATTTGCTAACTTATTTTAATGTTTTTGTTTGTATACGGACTTTATGAATACAATTCTACCTTCTCTTCATTTACATGCTGTTATTATCACACATTTTACTTATACATGCTATAAACTCTACAACACACTAATTATCTTTGTTGTTAAATCTTTTAAATAGAAACTGGAACTTCATGGCATATTTCTTGTAGGATAGATCTGCTGGTAATTAGTCCTTTTATAACCTTTTATAACCCTGGAAATCATTTTATTATGGTTATATCCCTCACAAAAGCTCGTTTGTATGAACATCTCCTTTGGGACACTGGGCCTACCTAGCACAAGTAAGCTCCTGGGGCCAGGCCTTGAACCTGTGGTTCTGACCCTAGCTCTTTTCTTCCTGATCTGCCAAGATGTGAACAAGCCATGCTGTAAGCTCACACTGCCACCAACTGAGGGCTCTATTTCATCAGGCCTTTCTTGTTATGATGGATTGTATTCTCTGAAAATATGAACCCAAATAAATCCTTCCTTCTTTAAGTTGTTTTTGCCAATAATGAGAAGAGTCACTAACACACTTTGTCTTTGTTTTGAAAGATCTTATCTCCAGGTATTGACTTCGAGGTTGGCAAAATCCTTTCTACATTTAAACTTGAAGGGAAAGCAGATTTTGCCCGTTTCCTCATTTGCAATCTATCTGCCAACATCTATCTTGTTCTTTTGTACATGTTATCTTTTGTTCTAAGTGTTTCTAAGATTTTTCTCTTACCAAGTGAACAATTTGATGATGATGTGACTTAGTGTGGTTTTCCTCATGTTTCTGTACTTGAGAGTTTACTAAATGCTTTGGGTTGATGGGCTCAGTTTCTATGAATTCGGAATGTTTTGGCTTTTAATTTTTCAAATATTGCTTGCCTTTCCTTTTGTGTCTTCTTCTTTGGGAACACAAACCCATGAAACTGCCCTGCAACTTGATATAGGTGTATTTTTTGAGACAGAAGCTTACTATGTTGTGAAGACTGCTCTAGAATTCCCGAGTTCACATGATTATCTTGCTTCAGTTTCCTGAGTAGCTGGGACAAAAGATCACACCACTACATAGGGTTCTCTTAATTTTAAAAATTTTGTTTTTGTTTTATTTCGACGATATTTTCTACTGTCAATATAGGAATATTCATCCACACATACATATATTTTGGAAAAATCGACATAGCCATTCATTCCATCCTTTAATTGTGTTACATATGCTTTTCATCTGGAGAGTTGGATTTGGCCTTTAATATCTTCCATAGCTGTGCCCAACTGATTACATATCTCAATTATAAATCTTATAACTGTTACACTGTTCTAATCATCACAGCATTTTTATCAGCTGTGGTTTAACTTCTGCTATTTTTCTCCCTACTGTGCTTCTCTGCATGCTTGGTAATCTTTGGATGACCAATGTTATGAACTGTAGTTTTTGACTACTGTACCTTTCTTATATTAGAAATGCCCTATGCTCTGCAGTACTCTAGCTGCCTTGGTCTCCCTGCACTCAATGTCCTGTCCCGTACTGTGCTCCTGAAGGCCGTAAGCTGAAAAGAAAACTTTCCTTATTTGTTTCCTACCTTTCAAGACTTGTCTGTCATGACCCGGTTCTCCTTTCTTGAGAACACTGTTCTACATATTTTGCCTAGTTTCTTTGCCTGTTTTGGGTGGTATGGTGAATGCTACATTGTATTACTCCATTCTGGCCAAATGTGCTAGTCTGTTAGCTTGACAGAATTTTAAAATTGTAACAAATCTGGGAGGCCATTGCTTATGTAAAACTTCATGCCTTATCTGGGGAACTAGAACCATATAAGAGGCTAAAGTCATAGACCTGGGGTCAGAGTACAAATCCAATTCTTCTTTCTCTTTGGGTTAGTAACTCTATCCATTGCTTAAAGAAATAAAGAACTTCAGAAACTAAAATATAAAAAATAAAAAAATATTAATGCTTTGCTATGAATGCATGATTAGGTTTGTATTTTATTTTAGAATATTCGCTTTGTTATTTTTATTTTATGTGTATAAGTGTATTGCCTGCATGTTTGTAAGTGCACAGTGTCACAATGCCTGAGGAGGTCTGAAGAGGGTATCAGATCCCCTGGAACTGGAATTACAGACAGTTTCTAGCTGCTATTTGGGTGCTGGGATTTGAACCCAGGTCCTCTTCAGGAGCAGACAGCATTCTTAACCATTTAGCCATCTTTCCAGCCCCTGGTTTGTATTTTATTAAACACAATATATTTCTGTTATTAAATATGACAGAAAAAAATAGTATAAAATACTTATCTGGACACATGGATTAAAAGAAAAGTACATTGAAAATATTTAAGAAAAAAGCTGTTTCTCTAACTGCACATGCAGATTTTTTTCTCATCAGCCCTAAACAGCAGAATAGCTATGACTTACATAACATCTACATTGCACCAGTTATTATAAGGAACTTACAGATGATCTTAAGTACTCAGGAGGATGTGTGCAGATTATATGTAAATAAGACATCATTTTATATAAAGGACTTGAACATCTACAGATCTTGGTATTCTTGGAGATCCTGGAAATAACCTCTTATGAACACTAAAGCATGACTACACAGACACACAGAGACACAGACACAACAAAACACACAGATACACACGCATATGGGAGGGGGAGGGGGAGAGAGAAAGAGAGAGAGAGAGAGAGAGAGAGCGAGAGCGAGAGCGAGAGCGAGAGAGAGAGAGAGGGAGAGAGAGATTTACTTCTTTTTGTTGTTGTTGTTTTGGTCTTGTTGAGACAGGATCTCCCTGTAGCCCCAGCTGTCCTGGAACTCACTATATAGACCAGGCTGGCCTTGAACTCACAAGAGATCTGCCTGCCTCTGCCTCCCGAGTGCTGGGGTTAAAGGTGTGTGCCACCACGCCCGGCAATTCCATTTTAAGATTTGTAACAGTATGTTTCAGAGCACAGGGAAATGCACTCTTTAAAGTGACTAGAATTCTTTTTTTAAAATCCAATTTAGTTTCATTTAAAAATAATAACTACATATATAGACATCAATTTCACTTCTAAACTGCACAATCTAGGAAGTATATGGAAAGAAGTACCAATGAGGAAACGTCAGCTATAAGTGATGACACCCCCCCACTACTATATAATCTATACTCATTTAAATGCTTTAAAGTATATCAACAGTATTGTTAATACTAATTTTTGCAATGAGAACTGAAAAAAAATTATGAGAAATGCCATGGACCCTGGACTTTTAGTGAGGATATGCTTTAGTATACTTAAAGCTTTCATAGACTCTGAAGTAAAAACATATTTAATACAATAATAAGCAAACTTAGAAAAGGGAGTTCTGTTATCAAAGACCTGTATTAGCATCATACAGAACTTATAAATGGCAAAAGCCCTCATGTTCTGAAGAAGAGATTCCATTAACTACCTAAAACTTGAGGGGAAAGCTTACCAAGTTATTATAATTGAGAGTTCTAGAGATTCATTCACAAAAAAACCAATTCATTGGCATGGCTTTCCTTAGCCTGTTAGTAGTAACTCATGGTTGCCAAAGATATTACCACACATGATCAGCATCAAAGAAAAACACCAGTAGTCACATCTCAGTATCTGCTTAAATAAATTCTTGTAAATTATTCATGAAAAATTAGTTACCTTTACAGAATTAAAACATGAAAGCTTACAATGCTGTTGCAATGAAATGCTTCTTCTAATTATGTGGTTATTAAATAAATAATTAACTGGAAAAAACATGAAAGCTTAACAAGGAAATAATCTTCTTTCACCCCCTTGCTTTTGGGCAAACTACCATTTTATAGTTATTGTGATACTGCCTTTCTAATTGGAATTGCTTTTCTATCTACATAAGCAATTACGGTACCTGTAAGGTCTCTCTGCACACATAGGCTATTTGCAATTCAGATAATGGTCCAGTAACTGGAAAGAAAAGAGATCATGTTATAAGTGTGAACCTAACATTAAAAAGAACAAAACTAGTACATAACTTCTGTATGTATCATTAGATAACTTCTATTCTGACCTGAAGTACGTATTATTTTTGTAATTAAGAAACAAACAAAGCCGGGTGTGGTGGTGCATGCTTGTAGTCCCAGCACTTGGGAGGCAAGAGGCAGGCAGATCTCTGTGAATTCAAGGCCAGCCTGGTCTACAAAGTGAGTTCGAGGACAGCTGGGACGACAGGGAGACCTTGCTTCAAAAAGACAAAAACAAACAAACAAACAAAAAACAACACTGAGAATTTTAAAGTCTACTTTGAAAATAAGAGTTCTACTCCAAAAAAACTTTGGACAATGAAAATTTAGTGTCCATTATATGCAAAGCTTAGTCCTAAATACCACAGTGAGTTCCATAGAAATCACCTCATGCACATCCATAAATCTTGACAAATTTTCAGAAATAAAGCCAAGAAAGTGAATAAGCATGTGACAATTAAGTTCACAGAGATGTAGAACATATAGAACTGTAAAGAGAGGCTGCTGACACACTGAGTATGCTCTTTCCCAGAGGTGTCCTATAGGGTTCTTTGCATACCTCTCAGGGTAGGGAGGCTTGCTCCAGTACTTTCCCAAAGATCAAAAGTAACCAGAGTATTTCTGGAAAGCACATCTTTCTCTAATATCAAATATAAAACCCTTCTCATGCAAGTATCCAACCAGGGGCTTATGAAATACGCTGTTCAATACATTTGACAGAAAAATCTAGTCTGGAATCTGCTGACAGTGAAACTTAATGAAGAACTTATACGTAATCCTTGCATTAAAAAAACTTCACTGAATCTTCTATCACTGGCTGGCTGTATCTACTCAGGAACACAAAATTCT